TATATATATATATATATATATATATATATATAGGGTCGGGTTCACGTGAGACCAAAGGTTTTTCGTGAGACCCGTAAAACCAATTTATGTTCATTGATCAACTTTATAATCTAATGGTCTAAAGTTGCACGATGTCAATTTTGTGATTATTGAGAAGTCTCATGGCAAATTTGTGATTATGAATGTTCAAATTGTAGGTCTAATCTAAGGGTTGAAAATTGGTCTTACGGGTCTCACGAAAAACTCTTGGTCTCACATGATCCCAAGTCTCTCTCTATATATATATATATCTATATCTTGAAGATCTCTTAAAAGAAATCCAAGTGAAGACCTTAACAATCCTTTCATATATATATATATATATATACACACACACACTTGAGAAGATCATGTGAGACCACTTTTTTTACACTTGAAACTTCACAGTAAAACACTATGAAAGTAACCTTCACAATGTTTTGCTGTAAAATTTCAAATGTAAATATGTAATCTCATGGATCTCATAAAAACAGACTGATATCACATGAATCAAACCCTATATAAATTCTTTCCAATTTGGAAACGCCTAAACATATACCTCTTATGGTTTCTAAACGGTGTTAATTAATGAAGAAAAACAACTTTTTTATGACCTAAAATTCAGTTAAGTGTAATATCTCCTTCGAGATTTCATTTTACAACAAAATAGTTTGACCGAGTAATTAACATTAATTTTCAAATAAATTCAATATTAAACCATTTATATTTCATGGGTTGAAAACAAAATTCATGCCAATTTTGTCATATTCCTCTTGAAAAGATGCAATTTCCATGCCAATATAAGATTCCAATTGTGTTTGGATTTCGAGATGTAATTCCATGCCTAATCTTGTCAAGGTTTTCTTGCCAATTTCATGCCAAACTTTCTTATGAAATCCATGTGGATCTCTCATAACTCTTTGTCTTTAAGTTCAAGCATGCATGCATGCATTGTTTTCTTTAGCATTATGTGATTTCCTTGCCAATTTTTGTGTGTTTGTCTTCTAAGAACACACCAAGATTTACTAAATAACACATAATTCTACTTATCAAGATTTTATTGTGACACTTAAGATCGCATATTTTGTAGGGACAGATACCAGTTTAGAAAAACAGATTGCATAAAAAAACTAATCCACTTTTCTTCAATCATATTTTGCAAACATACTTCTGAAAAACATGTTTAGGAGTATATATAGTTTGTGTATCAGATGTCGACATGAAATAAGTGAAACTTGACGTATTTCTAAAAGTACATTTATTAGACTTTTAAATATAGATTTATCAAACTATTAACTTTTACAACTGTCTTTTGAAAGTATAATATTCTCAATATATAAATTTGTTGGTCTCGTAAGGATCTACAAGATATGTATAACAATTTGTAGAAGAAGGGAGGAGATGAATACAAACACAGTATTTTCAAATTTAAAATGTATATTGATAAGAGAATATCAATACAAATTTTATAAGACTGTTTGCGAAAAGATAAAGTAAGAAAACCTATCTAAACAATCTTTGGTTACACACTTAAACCTAGCAAATAAGAAAAGATTTGTTGTAAAAGAAATAGAAGAAAGTAAGTTCTTTCTGGGAATGAACTTGTTTAGAATGCAATAAAAGGGATTCTAACTTGCTCTTGAAGATGAGCGGATAAGTTCTTAGATGTGTGTTCTTTACTTAAGCGCAAGGATGCTCAGAGTAAGTTTTAGGTTAAGATTATCTCTGCATGGAGATAGAACACATCTATTTATACCCATTGCATTAAATGCACATTTAATGCAACGTGGTAGGGTTAGAACGTGTGTCAAGCCTTAAGGGGAAAGTTTGTCCTTTGTTACAGTGAATAGTACAAAAGCTTATTCATGAGCAAACATCCTTACCTGAAGTTGGTGGGTAATAGAGTCAACTAGTCGGCTCCGTACCGTACTAACATTTAGAAAGGGTAAGGGTTTGTCCTTTGTATGTATACGGACAAGACAACAACAATCGTGCTTAATAAACTTCTTTTGATCGCTGAATGCTGGAATAATCTGAAGGTCTCTTCAGCATTCGCTGAGGCTTGGGCAGTCTTCACACATATGTAGATAGCTTGTAATAACTGAGTACCGCTTCAGATTATGTAATCGCCAGTCTCTAATCTTTAGTTTCAGTTTTCTACGTTTGCTGAAGATTTTTTGGTGTGATTGTTGTCTTCTTGAAGTATCGCTGTCGTTGATTGAATTACAATACAAGTTCTTCAGCGATCACTGAACAGACTCAGTGAAGATCGCTGGAACTGAAAAGACAGAAACATAAATACTTCGTATATAGAAAAAAAGGGATTATCATCAAATCACTGAGAGAGAGACTAACAAAATTAAATCAGAATATTGCGTTCATTCTTTATGTAATTTTCTCTTATAGATATACATTAACATGCATGTAATTGATATATACAGAAGATCTTGAAATAAAGCTTATAGTTGTCGTTTACGATAAAATTAAAGATGTTGTAACCTCATCTCAACTTGTTTGTAACTTTATAGCTACGAATTAGTAATAACTTTTTTGCATGGTTTTAGAAAGATGTTTTTTTTTTCATTTGACGAGCAATTAATGTGGTTGTATCATGAGGTAAAATACTTGAAAACAAGCAATCCTTATGTCTTGTGCATTTTTTTCGCTTAACACCCGAAAAGTAGCAACAAAGTAAGAGGAAATCGACCATTTAGGGTACAAGTTCTATGTTAAATCGTTGTTTTTATGTGAGTTTAATGTCATATAGTGTTGAGGAATAATGTAGTGTCAACTTCACGTCCAACGTAGGGATTTGAAGTCTGATTTGCTTGATGAAACAACATGTATATTGCTTGGATAAAACAATATGTGCAATCGGTAGAGACAGTGCCAATTTGTGAAGTGATATGAAACGGGCCATGCAACGTGGCACAAACTGTGTCGGGTTGTAAATGATTTTGACACAGATCGTGTAACGTTGGGAGAGCTAAGTGCGAGTCTTTGGTGTAGCAGACCACATCCATATCTACATGTTATAGTTTACTATTGACCTATTGTATATGATACGTATATATGTCTAGGTGCCAGTTTCGGTATCCATTCAGTTTCAAGTCATGCATGATTGGATTACTTTCATGTTAATTACAGTGGGATGTATGTCTATATATGAAATCATATTTTCAACATGGATCAGTATGTCGTATGTATTTACAATAACGTATCAGTAAACTGACTATTGTTTATGCCTTTACCCCTAACAACCTAGCTCCATGCGGCAAGCCGAGTTCAATCGCGATAGATTTCTAAATTTCCTCACTTACTAGTTTTAATTTCTCTTTTAACATGATACAATAATTTGTTAAACTGTCTTGAAATATTGGTTATAGTTTGTTTGTAACCTGCATGGTTTCAAAGTAAAGCTAAGCGTTTTTAGGATATTTTTAAAGTAAAGTGTCGTATTAGTTATTTTATAACATTGTTTGAAAAAATATCCTATAAAAAGATGAGTTTACAAGACACTCTTAAAAGTGTCTCATAAAATTAACACTTTATTTTCAACATGTCATAAAAAACATGTAAAAACGCTAAGCGTCATATAAACCTATTGTAACATTTTTAGATATGACGTTTTATTGTTTGATCCTATAAACTAAAGTACTATAAAACATTCTATTAGAACGCTTTGACATGTTAGACGTCCTATAAACCCAATTTTGTTGTAGTGACCTAAGACTATTTCCAATGGGAACGACACCTCATGATGCACCTAATTTCTGCGGTTGAAATTATATCGTAATATGGTTGTTTAAGTAAATGACTAATCTTTTAATCCCGAAGGTAACAAACTGAAAAATCCCAATGGCTACCTATAAGGTGTAGAATTTCTGAGAATAAAGTCGTGTTTGTGGAGACTGACATTCTGCTACAAAATCTCCAAGATGTCGAATCGAAAATTATTGTTAGGACCGGAATCATTTCCATTGATCATTTCAAAGATAATATGTTTGTTCTTGCATGGACCACCGACATTAACGTTTTCAGAATCTTGACGAGACCCTGAATACCCGAAAATAAATGGATGATCATTGTTTCTTTGACAATATTTCTTCTTATTCGTCTGTTTCTAGGCTCTTGTTAAGAAAGTATTGGTCGTTCTGTTCAGCAGAGGACACCAAATATGTTTAAATGTCCTAATAATTTCTCTAGGGGACTTTAAGTTTATAAAACCAGACAATTGTGTTGTATATAGGTGTTACAATAAGCTAACATGACACTTTAAGACGTCATAACAACTTTTTTATGACACTTTTGAAATAAAATGCAGTATTAAGCTTTTTACATAAGAGTAAAGAACCCATTACGAAATAACCAACAGAGACTTACGCAACTCAGTACCGCTCTTCGAAAAAGGAGTACATAACGAAACAGATTGATTCCTTTGATTTTCTTGGAAAGATGTTGAAATATTTACATCCTATCGAAATTGTGACCACCTAGCCTTGATCAGTTTCTTGGTTCATTGTTCTTGAACGAGTTTCTGCGAGCCGATGCCAGGATGGTCTTGTCGGCAACTATAAAATACGCTGCTCCGGCAACTGTAAGTTCGTTCAAACGTTTGTCGATCATTCGGAACAAAAAAAACAGTTTTATGTAAAAGGTGCAAGTACTAACCAGTGGAGATAATAAGAGCCTGGGCAGTGTAGTTCAGATTGGCTCTTCCCCATGGCATCCTACCAATAGCCATCTGCATTATCCACATACAGACATCCACTCATTACAACAAAATCAGGTTTATACGACGCCAAATATATATAAATATCATACTAGACTGTTTTATAGGACTTAAATTTATAAAATTGTGCATTTGACATAAAAGTGCAATTTTCTGGCATCTTTAACAATTTTTAGGACTCTTTTAAAATAAAGCGTAACAATATGTCCTATGAACATATCTTTTTATAAAACATGTGTTTTATATAAGAATGTCATATAAAAAGATTAATAGAATGTTTTTATTTCTAAAATGTCTATAAAAACTTGTTAGGACGTCGAAAAACATTGTATTAAATTATTATTACACCTTTACATACGATAACTATAAGTCCTATAAAAAAAGTCACTACAACAAAATTGGGTTTATAGGACACCCCCAATCTCTAAGTGTCCTAATAGACCGCTTTATAAAACTTAATTTATATTACCAAAATATAAAGCGTTCTATCTAAAGGTGTTGTAATAAGTTTACATAACGCTTTTGGGCGTCTTAACAAGTTTTTTAAGACATTTTTAGTACAAAATGTCGCATTAGCAACTTTATAGGACATTTTTAAGAAAATGTCCTATAAACTGAATTTTTTATAGGACATTTGTTTTTATAGGACAATTTTTCAAATAGTGTCCTATAAAGTTGCTAACGGGACACTTTATATTAAAAGTGTCCTAAAAAACTTATTACGACGTCAAAATACGTCATATAAACTTATTACAACGCCTTTAGATAGGATGTTTTTTTTTTGCCTATAAACTAAGTCTTATAAAGACACTTAGAAATTGGGAGCGTCCTATAAACCCGATTTTGTTGTAGTGCATGACGTTAGAAAGATAGACTGTACGGTTGGAATGGCAGTGACGATCGCGGCTAATCCAGCAGCCTTCGCTCCTGCAACAACTCCATCTGAACAACCCACGAAACCGTACGATACTTTAGCTGCCTGATTACAATCTAAATTACACAAACTTAATCATAATTAAGATGTAATGAATTACCATGAGATTGCTGCTTGGCCATGGCTTGATCAAATGAAGCCATCAAGAAAGTTACAGCAGTTAAAGAAGATAACTGTTGTTGTTTTCTATTACAGTAAGTGTCTTTTCTAAGCTTTGGATGAAGAAAATGGTGAAATGGTGACTACTTATAAGCATTTGGACATGAAAGCAAAGATGATGCTTCTGGGCTGTGGTTGGACCCAAATGGTTACCATTCAGACATCACTGGTTTACGTTCAGATTTTAGGGTTTGGAGTCATATCATTACCTGCAGCTGCCGTCCCTTGTTTCCCCCTTTTTTTTCAGATTTTATTTATAATTTATAAAAGAGCCGTTGAGTGAGAAAAAACGGGTTCCAACGTATATGAACGAGAAACAGTCTCAAAGCGTAATCAACGAGGGATCCTAATGGAGGCTGGATGAGTATAAATTGCGGAAATTAGGTTTATGAAACACCGACGAGTTTTAGTAATTAAGTTTATAAGATCAAACAGTAAAATGTCATATACCTAAGATGTTGTAATAGGTTTATAAGACGTTTTTGGACGTTTTAACAAGTTTTTTAAGACATATTTAATACAAAGTGTGGCGTTAGCTATTTTATAAGACATTTTTGAGAAATGACCTATGAGCATGTTTTTTTTTAATAATATCCTATAAAATAACTAATATGTCGTTTTTTATTTATTAAAATGACCTAAAAACTTGTTACAACCCGAAAAATGTTTTGTAAACTTATTATAATAGCTTTAGATATGACTACTTTATTGTTTGGTTCTATAAATTAAGTTTAAAAACAGTCTAGTACAAATACTTAGGGGGTGTTTATTTATGACTTAATGAGCTTAATGGGCGAAAGAGCTTATTCGCACAGCCAAAGTATGTTGCTTACTTGTGGCTTATTCGGACAGAACTTGACTTATTCGCTCAGATGGATTACCACTCTTGTCCATGTTCAGCCCAAAAATTGATCGGCCTACCCCTCCTAATAAAAACCCTAGATGACTCACTAAAACTCACGGTTCTTCACTCCATCTCTCTAAAGGTCGATTTTGTTGGTTCGATTCTTCACTCCATCTCTCTAATGGGTAATTTTCCTTCACCGATTTCTTTGTTGTTTGATTTCTAGTTGTTCGATTCTTGCTGTTTGATTTTTGCTGTTCGATTTCTAGTTGTTCGATTCTTGCTGTTTGATTTTCATAGTTCGGTTGTTGTTTGATTATTTGCTCAGATGAAAGTCTGTTCGATTCCTGTTTGATAATTCGATTGTTGTTTGATTATTTACTCAGATTAAAGTCTCTTGTTTGATTTTTCCTAGCTCGATTGTTGTTTAATTATCGTTCAGATGAAAGCTTGTTCGTTTGTTGTTTGATTATTCGCTCAGATTAAAGTCACTTGTTGAATTTTCCTGGTTCGATTGTTGTTTGATTTCTTGTTGTTTGATTATTCAATCGATTTTTGTTGTTCGAATATTGCACAGATTCTTCAAAATCGATTTCTTGTTGTTTGATTATTCATACTCAACGTAAATTGGTCATTTATGTTATCCAAAGACTATCGATTCAAATAGAAAAGTAAACAATAACATAAATTTATCTAACAGATAAAATTATCTGTACATGACTTAATAGAAACCGTAAATTTGGAAAAAAGAATGTCTGTAAATTTTTGTGAAATCTGGATATAAACCGCTGCTGCTGCTGGTGGTATATCTACTAGGGATGCTCACCAGCACAAGATTCTATGCCTACCTCCGTCACTAACTATTTGATGTTGAGGTTTATAGCAACATATGCACATGTGAATAAGATTTAATCATTATGAATACATGCAGTGTGAAGCAAGAGTAACTATTTGTTTGTACTCCTTTGGGAGGCGGGAAGCCTATCATCATCTCCTTTAATTTAGATGTTACAGCGCAACACCTTTTAACATCAAACGCGTGTCCTAAAAAGGAAAAGTATCCAAACATAAATTATTGATTTTAATAATATTTAGATAAAACAAAATTGATTATTGATAATTACAATCGTTTTTATACGGTTCCTGTCTCTAATAATATCGATGTGATGGAATTTTTTTTTGGCTCACTCACTCGGCGACTGAGGTGTAACATCCTCACATCTAGGGGTGCTTATGGGTTGAGTTGATCGGGTTGAGGACATTTGAACAACCCAATCCAATGCGTGCGGTTTAGAAAAATATTAACCCAACCCAACCCGAGGGTTGATACTTTGGTATATTAAAATATTCTTCTAACATTGAATATGTTATTTCTCTACTCATAATTTTTTTTTCATCATCAACCATTTGATACAACTTATTATATTTCTTATGTATATCACATTTAGTTAATTTTCTTAATTTAGATATATATGTTCATAGTTACTGAATGAGTTATATGAATAGATTGAAAATATGTGTATATGAAAAGCATACATGATAATGTAATTGTTTAATGTATTTATTAATAGAAATTCAACAATCATATAAAATCCAAGAAATAAAAGGATATCGGGTTCATCGGGTTGGGTTGAGTTCAAATAATAATAACCAAATATTAACCCAATACCTACGGTTTGACAATTTTACAACTCGATTAGACATCGGGTTGCTTCGGGTTGGGTTAGTTCGGGTTGGATTGGGTTGGGTTGGTTGGGTTGGTCAGGTTTTTGAGTACCCCTACTTACATCCATATTTTGATACATATAATTTCAGGTTTTATCTTCATTTTCGTCATTAAAATAACCTTAGAATGAATTTCGAGTTGGTTTGTATTCGGATGCTAGTTAGAAAAGAAAACCAAACAAATTTCAGTGAACTTCACGCCCGGGGAGGTTGGGCGGAAAATGGAGTTAGTGTGGGGGTTGGTGCATCATTTTAAAATCGGGATTTTGGCTTCTGAACTCGATTCTTGCTACACAACTCTCGTCCGCTCTCATTTGTTTCACCTTAGCAACATTTAGGGATTTGATTGGAAGACTTTAGATGCATTTACGAGCCTTGATAGCTATAGTATAAGCGTTGTGATTAAAAGTTCAAGATCAACTTCATTTTCGCCATCTCCCTTTTTTTTATGAACCACAAGGGTGGTGTATGATTGTTTTGAGCTTGGCTCCAAAGGTCAAAAGTAACAGGAGGTCCCAGGTTCAAATCCAAGGAGGAATAAAAATCCCCTTGWGGCCACGGAGGTTCAAATGCGGTGATTCCGGACTATCTGCAAAGCAGGTGGTCGTCCTGGGATTAGTCAGCTCGCATAGCGGGTTGGATATCCAGGTTAATTAAAAAAAACCCCTTTTATGAAATCCCCCAATGATTTGAGCTATGGATAATTTCTAGGTCACGTTTCTATGGATTTCGGGGAAAAACTTTTATTATCTATTTTATGAGATTTTGAGTTATATGAAGAAATAAAACTTACTTTGATGCTAGTTCAAGTAACTATTTACCTTTATGAGGTATTATTGGGCTTCATTGGTTGATTATCATGAAAGTTGACATTTTTTAGAATTTAGCAACATTTTTTTTATTAACATGGATATTCAACCTGTTATGCGAGCTGACAAATCCCAAGGCGACCACCTGCTTTGCAGATATCTCAGAGTCACCGCATTTGAACCTCCGTGGCCACAAGAGGATTTTTATTCCTCTTTGGATTTGAACCTGAGACCTCCTGGTACTTTTGACCTTTGGAGCCAAGCTTAAATCAATCAGACACCACTCTTGTGGTTAAATTTAACAACATTATGAACTATGGGTTAAATATTGATTAACCATATGAACTTTCATTTGTTGAGGACCTTGATTTACACTTGTTTGGATTATGATGTACCTTTTCACCATTTTAGATTCGAGCCAATATCATGTTATTTCACATGGTTGGGTATTTGATGGACCCAAGTAACATGGTTATATATATATATATATAGGGGCTGGTTCAAATAGAAACCAACCATATGGTACAAATTATGTGAACCGATCTTGATCGTTCATTTTATCATCAAACGGTTAATATTAAATGAGATTAAATAAACAATAATTTAATTAATGTATTAATTGATATGTGTATGAACAATTGTTCAAAGGGTAAATTGGTCAAA